GTAAAGCGAATTGTGTATGTGGTTTTGCTTAGAGAAACCTGCTCACTATTTTGATAGCTTGACTAAAATTCTAATATTTGAACAAACAAAATATGCATTTATTATTTTCAGACCTGAGAAGTAAATGCCCTCTTCCACCTCTTCCTCCTCACACCCACATCAGCACAGCCTTAAGAACATACCGTAATGGAGACAAAGTTCGAATACAGTGTCAGAGTAACTTGGAAATGCGAGGCCCAGAGGAAATCCGGTGCGAAAGGGGAAAATGGACATCGCCCCCTGTTTGTATTGGTTAGTAGTTTTGTAAAGACTGAGGCCTGAACAGAAACACTCCTTCAAATAATGTATTTCGAGAGCCTCGGTTTCCATATCTATAAAACTATTTCCTCTTCCATTAAATTCTGAGAGGAAAAGTACTGTGTAACTTGCAAACAATCCATTTTTCATGGATCAAGGGACAGTACAACCTAGATGAAGTCATATGAAAGCTAGGTTTTGTGTTTTTCCCCTGGAATACTGATTTTATTAAATCTTGCAAAGCTGCAAAGCTTCTGTCTGTTATGGTATTTGGAAACAAATGAGAAAGCTGTTTCTAAATTGTTGCTGTGATTTTAGGAGCTATGGATAAATGGGAATCTGAGCCACCACCATCGCTTGAGGCAGATACAGCAAGAACAAACAAAACATATCACAGTGAAGATATAAGTAAGCAAACATTGCTTTTCTGTTTAACAAGAAATTCAATTCTCTCCATTGATATTACATAGACTTTATGACTACTCTTACTGCTCTACCTAGAATAGTTCCTTACTCTTGAAAGTATTTTCATATGCATCAATATTAATGTAGCAGTCAGATTGACTGGATTAAAGCCTAGGGTCACTTGTTTCTAGTGCTTGTAAGTTGCTTCGATAAGCTGGTACTGTATTAGTAATTTTGATTACTTAATTCATTAGCATTTGCTTTCTATCATTTTGTTCCTCTTCTGTTACTATTGCCTAAACGTGCAAATTTAGGAGTATTTTGTTGAGTTCAGTAGTTCTGTTACGGGTTATTTTGTTTATTGTGGACCCTATAATGGGCTAAGCACTTCAAGGAACAAATAGACAGTTTCCTCACAGAAAAACAAATAGTCCATATTTAGTGTAAAACAGGAAGAAACAAGAGTGGGCATAGATGAGTATAGAGATACAATGTCTGTCTGCACTTCAGTAAGGCAAATGTACGGTCTCTGGTTTTGATATTTGAACAAGAAATCATATTAGTGTACACTTTTTGCTTCAAGTCTTGTGGTTCTGATGCTATCAGTTGTGTCAACATTGTTTTAAAGATCTAATTTCCTATCTCCAGATCCCATCTTAGAAATGCAGCAGGAGTGTGCCTCTCCACCTGTGATTAGAAATGGTATCCTTCTTGGCCCATTACTGATGAGTTACCAAAACGGCTCCTCAGTGGAATACAGTTGCCAGCGCTACCATGTTCTGGATGGACCTAGTACTGTTTACTGTGAACGAGGAAACTGGACCCCACAACCAACTTGCTTAGGTAAGTCTTTAAAGGAAAAAAGAATTTTTTTTCACACATAAGATAGAAAGATGAGACTGGAAAGGATGTTAAGATCCTCTTTTCATGACTATCTATTTTTTTTCATCTGAGCTAATAAAGATTCCAGAAATGCAAGAGTGAAGCCAAATGAAATATAATTAGGTCACCCCTGCTAGATGTCCCTCCAATCTGCTCTTACAAGCACCTAGTCAAATAGATTCCTCTATTTTCCCAAGTGAGATATTCTAGAACTTGGCAATATCTATTATCTAGGAAGATATTATAGTTTCTTAACTCTCTGCGTCATCAGTTCAGTGAATTTCTTCCTGTCCTTCCACGGATACAGAGAAGAGCCATTGTCATAGTGACTAGTTCAGACATGATTGTAATAATATTTTGAATTTCATTATAAAACCTTCTTTTCTTTTATTTTGTGTTCTTCTATGTGTAATCTCATTCTGGACTCTGTGAACTAGTGAAAACTTGTTTCCTATGAACATTTCATCTGTCTCCTAGGCATGTGAATAACCACATTGTCCTCTGCATGTTTTCCATTAAGTTCTTTTCAGCTCCCACCTCACCAGGCAAGAAACAGTACATACTGCAATTAGTTTGAAACAGTATCAATACTGATCTG